TAAAAAATGCATTTAAAACCTTTTTTTTATCTCTAAGTAAAATTGTGAAGTATGTAATAATTCTTATAGGTATTATAATTTTAAATGCTGAAAAAAGTTTGTGTTAAATTTTATTTTAAAAAATCAATTTTTGTTAAAATTAGTTAATTATATTTAGGTATGATCGACAAAATTGATCACATGTCAGTAATTTTTTAGTAGTTACACTAGAAAATTTGACATATTCAGGGATAATAATTTTTTGCGGTGATTAAGAATGAATTCTGCATGTAATAAAAGTTAATTCTGTGAAATTCTGTGATTTGATCAGAATTATGCAAGATCAGCTAATATTATAATTTGCAAATTCTGACCAAACTTAATATTAGCCAGCATTATGATGATAAATCAGACCAAAATTTTAAAAATTATCACCATATTCTGTGATTTCTTGCGAAATTTTATGAAATACAGAAAATCACCATCCCTGAACATATCTTACACCTTACGCTAGGATGTTCAAATTTGTTAGCATGATAACCTAAAATCTTAGGGTAAAAATCATAAAAATTGTAAAAATCATGATCATAATTTTGGCTAGAATTAATATAATTTTAACCAAAAATTTCTTAGAAGTATATAAATTTCAATATATCGTAATAGTAAAATAGAACTTTGCATACAATTTTATTTATCTATATAACTAAATACTACATTTTATATAATTCATCACTAACTAAACTATATATATCAATACTATTACTAAGATTAAAATAAAGAAGATTAAGTATTTGAATATTTTCTTCTTTAAGTGTCACTCTTCTATCTGATAAAATACTTTTATAATTAGAAAAATTACATTTAATATTTATATCAGATACTGGTAGTATTTCAAATGAGTCAAGTTGAGTTGAGTTTAAAGATCAACTCTATTTGACTCATTTTTTTGAATTGAGTTGAGTCAAATTTATTTTATAAAATCTTTTAACTTAATTTGATTCAAGTTATATAAATTTTAAATTTAATTCAATTTAACTTGACTTGATTTTAACTTAAGTTGATTTTGACTTGAATTTATTCAAGTCAAGTTAAGTTCAATCAAGTTTTGAGTCAATTTTAAATCAATTTATAAACATTTAATATAAAAAAAATTTATACTTACCCTTATTCATGAAAATGAAAAAACTGCTTTTAAAAAAAAAGTTTAAGGAGAGAGAAGGGGAAAAAATAAATAAATAATAAAAATAAAAAAATAATAAAAAAAAAATTAAAAAACAAGCTAAATTGAAAAAAAATTTAAAAAAAATAAAAGAAAATAAAAGAAAATAAAAGATTAAAGGGGAGGAGGGGGAAAAAAAATAAAAAAAAATTAAAAACAAAATAAAAGATCGAGAGAAAGGAGAGGAAAAATAAAAATAAATAAAAAACAAAAGTTAAATCAAAAAAATTTAAAAAAAAATAAAAGAAAAGAAAAGATCAGGGGGAGGAAGGAAAAGAGAAAGGAAAAAAAAGAAAAAAAAATAATAAAAAAAAAATTAAAAAATAAAAGCTTAAATTGAAAAAAAAATTTAAAAAAAATAAAAAAAAAGGAAAAGGAAATAATAAAAAATTAAAAAAAAATAATTAAAAAACAAAAAGATAAAATTAAAAATTAAATTAAAAAAATAATAAGAAAAGATCAGGAAGGGGAAAAGGGAGAGAGGGGGAAAAAGGTAAAAAAATAAATTAAAAATAATTATATTTCGAGTTAATTCGAGTTTAAATCAAATTGAGTTAAATATTTAACTTAACTTTAATTTAGCATGACTCATAAATCATCAAATCAAAAAAATATAAACTCGACTTGATTTAAACTTGACTCAGCTTATTTGACTTGTAAATTAACTCAACTCGTTTAAAACTCTAGATACTGATAACTATATATATATTAAAGCTAATAAACTAAGTTCTGATAATACATGTACTTTACCTCCTTGTCAATATATATTTAAATCTTTAAACTTTTTAATAGATTCATTAAATTCACAATAAATAATCTATTCTTGTATTAAAACATATATAAGAAAATAAAATTTTTTAATAATTTCAAAAGTTTTCATATTATAATTAGCTATATTAGATTTAATAAATCTTAGATTAAAATATTATATTATTTTAAATAATGTAAAGTTGAATGATAAAATATAGAGGTTAAACTATTAAAATTATTTTACAGGACTCTACCTAACCAAAATTAAGATTTTTGATTAATATTATTATATGACATATGAACTGTATTTGGTTAAATTTTTATAGTTGATTATCTTATTAATAAAGCAAACAATTAGGCTATTAAAATCTCTTATTTATTTGTATAATATCAGTTAAAAAATCTAAGTAAATATTTTTTTTTAAAAATAAATAATAAATATAAAAAATAATTTTTTAATTTCTTTTAAAATTGAATTTTCTAATAATTAGTATAACAATATCCTATAAAGTGTTTTTTAATAGCAAAATCTTAAGTATTACAAAATTGAATTTAAGTATTACAAAAATTAATCTTGTAAAATAATTTAATAATAAAATTTATATATTTTATAATTAATCATCATTTACTCAAATCAAATTTCTTATCCCGTAATGTAATTTTAATAGCTTAATTCCCACATGTATTTTTCATATTTTTCATATGCTAATATAAAAGCTTTAGAAAATAATAAAATAAATTGCCTAAAATCCTGATTTGTTTTATTTAAAATTTGAAATATCTTATTTAAAATTGAAGGATTTCATATTTCTGATGAAAGAAAAGCTTAAAGAGTCATTATCTGAAAATAAACAAATAGAGCTATAACTTTATTTTAAAGAATTTCAAATTATTAATCAATCTAAATAAAAAATAAAATTATTAACATAATTATTATAAAATTAATAAATTCATTAATATAAATTTGCTTACTGATTACAATTATATGTAAAATAGATAATATTTTAATACATAAAACATAAATTTTATTTTGACAAAATTTATAAAGAACTTGAGTAAATTTTGAAATATGATTAATAAAATTTTCTGCAGTAATAAAAGTAATTAAGTGAGACTATAAGGTTTGATCTAATATAAAATAAAAACTATAAATTTCATCATATCTTTACAGGTAATGATACTAAAGTAGGTGACTCAACATCACTTTGTAATAAATGCTTCTTTCATTAAATTTTTTTTTGTAAATTATAAGTAAATATTATTTTAACATTTATAATTAGTTTATCAACTAATTCAAATTTATAAAAATTCACCAATTAAATTAAGAATATGTGCTAAACAACAATGATGTTTTAAATTTGATAAAAAAGAAGTTAAGTAAGAATATGTTAATTTCATATACAAAACATTATTAAATATAAAAAAATAATATTTTAATAAGGAATATTAGTAAAAATAAATATTATTTATAACAAATTGTAAATGGATAAAGCATTAATATTGGTAAAACTTAGTTCTAGCTAATTTAGTTTGATTATCAAAATTAAATAGAAGATTAATAGCATGCTAGTCACAACGATCTGTTATTTTATCAATTATTAAACTAATATAATATCATTATTTTAATTTATAAAATTCAATCTTATATGATAATAAAGACTTTTCGTGAAGTTGATTATTTCAGTAATTAATACCCCTATAAATAAATAATATATTAATAAATAAAATAATTATAAGTTCAAAAATAAAAATAAAATATTAAATAAAATTACATATTTATAGTTCTTATATTTATGAAAGTTGATTTGATTTTATTTTTTTTTTTTTTGTTAGAAGGTTAACGGTGGAAAGTTCTTATATTTATAAAGTTTTCGTTTCTAATGAATAGACTATCATTCTTCGTTCAGCAACAAAATAAAGAAGAAATAAAGATATAATCATCTAAACTATTTGCGAGTATAAAATCATCTTTTTCTTTTTTTGTTCTTAGTAATTAAAATTTTTTCAATTTTTGCTGAACAGACTGGTTAATTAAAATTTATAAAAAAAAAAAAAAAATATTTTCTTTTTACATATGATTCTAATAATTTTTTATACGACAAAAATTTAGAAATGTAAAAATAAGTTCTTTTGTTGTGATTCTAATACGACCGGATTAGTTCTTTTTAAAAATTTGTAATACGGCCGGATTATATTTCTTTTCGTTATAATTTTTTCGTCTGAAATTCCAATTTCAATAACAATTACTTTTGTGCTTCATTTTTTAAGGGCAGCCGATCATTTGCTTTATTTGGAAATGCGTTTTCATAGTTAGAATAGTTAGCTTTTTCGTCAAAACGACAATTTTTTTTTTTCATTTTGTGTTAACAAAATATTAAAATTACATGTGTACTTCATTTTATGAAGATTTATCAAACAATTTCTGTTCGTTGTTAGTCAGAGTTTGAGTATAATGTCATAATCGATGTAGGAAATGGTACAGACCACAAAGAATTTCATGCGTCACTCTGTTGTCCTTATAGTAGGTCATCATATTTTCAATCGTTATTTTCATCTTATAAAGTTGAGAAAGGTAGGATATCTATCATTAGGTTTCCAGGCATTAGTGTAATCCATTATACGTAAGTTACCTTTATACTTTGATTGTTCGAAAACTCTTTAGAACGCGAACTGGTATTAATCCCTTTATTGAATAGTTACTGTATATCTATACCGGAAATATTGACCTGACCAATGAGGAGGAAATCTAAAAATTAAATTATTTGTTCATCTCAACAATTTTTTTTTTAAACTATCAAACTAAATTCATTGAAAAATATCTTATAGAAACCCATTCTGAATATTTAAGGAAGTATCCCGTGGAAATCCTTCAGAGTATTTATTTAACAAGTACACCTTTTAAAGATTTATAGGAAATTTGTATATAGACGCAATCAGTTATGAACCGGAACTCATCCTCCTCTCTGATAATTACCCGCTCCTCTATTAGAAATTATTCTTAGCGGGATGCTCTTAATTTGATTGAGATTGAGATTTGGGAAAATTTAGTTAAATGGGGTGTCAAACAAATTTCAAGGAAACTAATGATAATGTTGATGAATGGACTCAAAAGGATTTCGTCGAATTGGAAAGATACATTCATAATCTCATCCCCTTCATTAGGTTTTACGAAATTTCTTCTGAAGATTATTTTAAAAAGGTAAAACCTTTGAAAGATTTACCTAAGGAATTGCATTATTCAGTACCATATGGTACCTGTGCATGCACCAAAGTTTAAAACATTAACGTCAAGTTTTGCAAAGCATGTGAATGATGATATTAATTCTAAATTATTTGAACAAAAGCATTTTCTTTCGCTTGCAAATTCGATAGATGAAAAGCATGAATATGTGATCCAGGTGATCGAGGAAGTTAAATGGCATATCAGGTGGTTTGAAGCAATCTAATTATAGATAAGGAGGGCATATTTATGAAAATGATTTGGAGTGATTCAACTGGAACAATAAATTTTCTGTTTTCTATTAAAATCGATGATGATACCTATAAGCCCAAAATTATTCGGAATAACGATAATAAAAGATTCTATCAAATCCTCCATCGCCCAATTTTATAATATTGATTAACCAGTTCATTCGGGGCTTTGATCGAGTTTATAAGGGAATCTCAATAATGCTTATAGATATTTTTAAGTTTACGAAATTTTTTTGGTAAACTTTATTGTAAGGAACGAAGAAATTGAAGAAATTAAATATTTATAAGTTTACTACGTTCATAGAAGTAGTTGGATAGAATGCCGGCCAGAAAATTACGAACTGTATATATTACATAAGTTTAAGATAGTTATGTCACAAGCGGAAAATCCAAATTTATTTCTCGAGTATCAATCAAGAGAAACAAAAACTGAAGGAAGTAGTGAATAAAGTAATGTCAAACGAAGATTACCCGTTCTTAATAAAGGAAATAGAAATTTCGATTTTTAGGCCATTCCTGTTTGAAAGAAAAAATGGGTAAAAAAGATTAAACAATTGTCAAATCTGAAAAATCACAATTCCCTTTTTTAAAAAATATTATGAGAAATAATAGTAAGTGTAGAATTCAACAACCATAAGTAATTTCGCCCGCTTTATTAATAAAATTTTTATTTAACATTATAGAATTAAAATTCATGATTTCGAAAAGAAATTTCCACTATTTTTTTTATGATTTAATAACGAGTTTTCTTATTTTATTAAAGTAAGAAAATATTTGGTGATGTTGCTACTAAAATACCATTTTAATGTTCATTATTGCTGAAAAGTTTCTTTGTTGTCATGCTGCGCCACACTTTTTAATCAAATCTATCTTTTAGGATGTGTTTTAAATAAACTTTCTAAACATTTAATTTCATTATTGTTTGATTCTAATTTTTAGATGAGGAATTATTGCATCATTGCATTATAATTACAATGAATGTTATTGAACGACACTTAACAAAAATTTTACTTGATTATTTTTTTTATAAAATTGAAAAAAGTTTAAAATTTTAAAATGAAAATTAATTTATTCAATATATTTTGCATTACAGATAGTAAATTATTTATTATGCATATTTTGTTATACTTTATATGTTCAAAAAATTGTAATTATAGAAGGTATGTTGTTTTTTATTCATTATATTTATTTTATAAAAAAAATGTTTTCGAATCTGTAATACTAAATTAGGCTTAGACCATTTGATGATCGTCATCACATCCAAATAAATACTGATAATTTTTTTTATTTTTTATATTCCAAATTTTGAACTAAATCACTATCGCAGGTAAATTCTCATATATTGGTATAATGATATGCTTGTTGTAGTTAATTTGACTCCTTTATTTCCGGAATTTATCTTAGTGAACGACGTCTCTTCTTTAAACTTAGGAAAATCACAACGTCTGTCTTCATTTTACACGTCGTCAAAGGAACCTTCGTAAGAGACTCAATGACAGCATATTGCGAGCTTGGAAGTTGAAAACAGTTAGTCCAACAACAAAGACAACTTTTAGCCTCTATTCATAGATACCTCGCTTACTTAGCTTTCGTAACCCTGATTACGACCTTTCCTTTTCAACTACCCGAACAAAACCGGGCTTATTCACTAACTTTGGAAAGAATTTAATAATATGGAAGGTTTGCTAATAGCGTTATAATCGAGTTATGGATCATATGTTCGTAACTCGATTTTTTATAGCAAACCTTAGAAGAATAATTGATGTCTCCCATAGGAGTAGAAGGAATAAATGAAATAATCAACCTAGTAAAAATGATGACGACGATAATCGTTCAGGTAATTTATTTTATTTTATCTTTTTATGTAAAAAAAAAATATATATTTTTATAATGAGAAATGGTGATAATTTGGATTTTATATTGTAAACACTCAGATTGTACTTGTCGTCATAAAAAAATAATGTCGTAAAGGTAATACTTATTTCGTATAAAGGACCTGTATAAAAGGTATATGGGAGGTTTGCTATTAAAATCACTTTACGGACCATATTATTTACTATATTCATAACCCGATTTTAACAGCAAACCTCCCATACAAGAGGGAATGTCTGTTATCCGTTATAAATATTTAAAAATATCTTTCACCTCTTCTTACATAAGACGAAATCATCACTTTAATCTTGATTTTTGAAAAGTTGTCGCCAAATCACATTATGGTTCTCAAAAAAAAATAATCTTTAGATTTTAAATTATGAAAATATGGGAGGTTTGCTATTAACGGATCATAACTATGTTCGTACATTTTTCGCTCGCTATATATTGTAAATTTTTTTAATCTAATATTGTAATAAATTAATAAAAAAAATGGACATATAAAGAAAAAGCTGTTATAAACAATCAATCTTTCTTTTATATATCAAAAAATATTTTAGATTTATCATTCTACAGTATTTTTCTTTTAAGTTTATATATATGTTAGTGATTAAATATATTTTTTTTGATTCAATTTATAATTATTTTTTTTAATTCTTCTATTTGAATTATCTAATTGAATTTTTTTCAATTTTTTAAATTTATATAAATCATTATTATTTGATTTTTTTATTTTATTAAATTTAAAACATTTAACTTTATATATTTAAATTATTATGGTTATGGTTAGGATTAAAGTTATTTTTATTTTATAATCTTAAATTTTCTATTCAGTTTTTTATTTCATTTCTGATTTTTTTTAATTAATTTTTTAATACGGTATATTTATTTTTTTTTTTTTACAGTAATTTATTTAATTTTTAAAAAAAATTGACCCGCAAGGCTAAGCATTTTATTGGATGTTTGATATAATTTGTCATACAACGTATTCATTAATCATTTAATTAAATAAATTTTTTAATAAAACGGGCAAGGCAAAGAATTAAACTGAACCTATGGTCAAATTAACGGTGGTTAATTTATTTATTTATTTTTTTTTATTTTATTTTTTTTAATATCACGAATTTTTTCTAAATTATGTTTTATTTTTAATTTTTTTTTTAATCTTCGTTTTATTTTTGATTTTTTTTTTTTTTTTTTTTTTTTTTTTTTTTTTTTTTTTTTTTTCTTCTCTTTTTTTTTTAACTTCCTTCTTTTTTTTTATGTTTTTTTTTTTTTTTTTGTTTTTTTT